AACAATTGCATTTATAATTTGTTTGATTAATTATGTGTAAATTATGATAAACACGTAAGCATTACAGAGTGCAAATATGATTGTAAGAACTTGACGAGGATGAGATGTTTCAAGTTCTAGTAAGTCCAAAAAAGTGTGACATTATGAAAGTAAAGAAGAAATCAAAATTATTGATAATATAACCTATGATGGATTTAAGGAAACCAACGGTGGAACAAAATAAATTTTAAGTAAACCTCTTTAAATAGTTTTTCATTAAAAGGATTTTTTTCTTTCCTTTACAATTCTTCTCTAATGATTTTGGTCTATTATTCTCAATTATTCATTCACTAATGGTGAAAAATACAAACAAAAAACTTTTAATCAATCCCTTAACCATCAAAAAATAAGACAAATCCACGATATTTTTAAGGGATTTTTACATACCTAACACTTAAAAATATGCTATTTACCTATCTCACACCCAAACTTACCTATTTACACACAAACCACCGTAAAAAGCTTTTCCCTTTCCAAAAAACCACTCCGTCTTCCTCTCCGTTAAACCCCATTCGTGAGTTGCTTGTTTGGGCGCGAACTGCTGTTCCTTCCGCATTTGTTCATCTTCTTCGTTCCTTGGATATCAGTTACGGAAGAAAAGCGTCGGAGCCTCCCGTCGTCTTGTACATTCCGGCCGAAGACTCCATTCCAGTTTCGCGTCACTGCCGAAGCCGCCCATTCCAGAATCGCATTTGTGCAGCCTATGAAACAGGAAAAATTTGATTAGGTAATAGTTTTAAGGTGATTAGGTAACACGCTATATCCCTATATTCTTTGCTAGAACAAATTTGATTAGGTAAGCTTTTTTGTTTGAAACAGAAAAAGCATTTCCGGTATAACAGTAAAAGCACTTCCGGTATATTCATTTCGTAGGCCTCCTGTGAAGACTCGCGTTCGTTCTGCCTGTGGAACAGAAATTTTTTGATTAGGTAAGCTGCGATATTATCTGTTTTGTTAGATATATGTTGATTTTTAATTAGGTAAGCAGCTTTTTTGAACATAAATCATTTTTTTGATTACTAAGTTCTTTGCTAGATATGGATTCGAACAATTTCTGTTATATTGTATTCAAATATGGAGGATATTGGAGTGTTGTGAAGGGACAGACGAGGCTAAAATATGTTGGTGGTAGTCAAAGAACTTTAAAGTTTGTGAGAAGTGATGTTAATTTATTTTTACTGAAAGAACAAACTGAAGCACTATGCCCGTGGCTAAGGGCGCATGAATATGACCTACACTATCACATCCATGGAACATCACCAAAAAATTACATGTCCATTATAAGTGAGACAGATGTTTTGGATATGCTTACATATTCTTCTGATTCCCACAAAATGGAGGTGGTTGTCGTTGTGAAAGAGCTTGAAGAAGATATAGGTATTGCTTGTGATAGCCAGCATGATACAAGTTGCAAAATAATGACAAACAATGATATAATAGTTGGTGGAATGTCTGAAGGTATTCTTGACAGTCCAGATTTAGAGGAAAATTCTCTTATTGTAGGATCAAGGTTTGAGGATTCGTTCAGTTTCAAACAAGTTATTCGTTCCAACGCGATCATACATAACTTTGATATCAAGATTAAGGCTAGTGACAAATCAAGAGTTATTGCTACATGCTCATACCGTGGTTGTCCTTGGAGGATACGAGGTTCTTTATGTTCTGATGGCCACTCCTTTGAAGTGAAGAAATTAAATCCTATACATTTATGCCCCGGGGTAAACAGAGCTGGGAACAAACAAGCAACTGCTAGCTGGGTTGCCCAAGAAATCCAGGACCTTGTCAAAAGAAATCCTGATATTACACCCAAGGACATTAGTAATAACTTGGAGACTACTTATGGTTTGAGTTTACCATACATGAAAATATGGCGATCAAGGGCACTAGCAAGAGACCAAATGTTTGGATCAATAGATGATAACTACAAGTGGGTTCCAACTTTGAAGACCGAATTGCTCAAAAGAAATCCAGGCTCTCATATAACATATCAATGTGACAACCAGAACAAATCATTCAAGAGATTCTTTGTTAGTTTTAAAGTTTGTATTGATGGATTCCTCGCAGGTTGTAGATTTTTAATTGGTGTTGATGCGTGCCATTTGAAATCAAAATATTTAGGTGTACTACTATCTGCAAATTGTCTTGATGGGAATAATGGTCTCTTTACAATTGCATTTGCCGTTGCTGAATCCGAATCAAGGAAGAGTTGGGAGTGGTTCTTGAAGAACTTGTTAGAAGCTTTAAATTGTGATATAGAACATTTGGCATTCATATCAGATATGGAGAAGGGGTTAGGTGAAGCAATTAAGGTTGTTTTTCCAACAGCCGAGCACAGGGTGTGCATGAGACACCTTTGGAAGAATATTAAGAAATTTTTCCGATGTGAAGATGGCCATAAATTACAGAAGTTGGTTTGGACTGCTGCAAATACTTTTAGTCAGCACAATTTCAATGCATATTTTGAAGAAATCCGAAGCTTGTCACCTGGAGTATATTCTTACCTATCTGCATTGAAATGTAAGTGGTCTAAATCCACTTTTTCTCTACAAATTAAAAACCACTATAACACAAACAATATGTCGGAATCTTTCAATGCATGGGTGGACGAGGCTAGGAGTAAGCCAGTTGTGGATCTAATCGACATGGTTAGAGGAATGATGATGGAACAACGTTCTCAAAGGAAGATCAATTGCAGTTCTTGGAAGGGGCCACTTGTCCCTTGTGTGGAGGAGTATCTTAGAGATGTTACAACAACAAAAAATCACTTTATTATTCGGGAATCTACTTCCACCAAGGCTGAGGTCGAAGGAAGAAATGATCGTCATGAGGTGGATATTGAGAACCGTATTTGTAGTTGTGGATTTTGGCAAGTGTGTGGACTTCCATGCGTACATGGTGCATCATTCATTGGATCGAAACACTACAATTTATGGCACACATACGTGGACGAGCACTACTACACTTTTCGGTTTGCTTCCAAATCTTATTCATGCACTAACATATTCATTTATTTTGTTCCTAACATCACTTTTTTTAGCAGATATAAAAGGGCGTATGACGGAGCAATCGGAACACTTCCGGGGAAGGAGCAGTGGTTGATACTTAGTGATGGTGAAGTTGTTGGTCCACCAATTTCACGTAGGCCCCGCGGTAGACCGAAGAAAAGAAGAATTAAAAACTTCTTAGAAACTACAAAAAAAGCTAAGTTGAGTCATAAGTGTGGACGTTGTAATTCATGGGGACACCATAGAAGCACCTGTAAGAACCCTTTAAATGGTGGTAGTGAAGGCAATTATAATGAATTTGAGATGCCGACAACTTCAGCTCCACGTGAAAAAATGCCAATCAGACGTGCTGATCATGAAGACAACTTCAGCTCCACGTGAGATGCCGACAACTTCAGATTTTTGTAAACATCGCAGTGGAGCCACCAATTACTCAGATTTTTGTAAACATCGGCAGCCCAGATTTTTGTAAACATCGGCATCCCAGATTTTTGTAAACATCGGCATCCCAAATTTTTGTTAACATTGCAGTTGCAGCTGCAGCATACAGGTTTTCGGTGGCCATTGTAGTTGCAGCAAACTGTGGTTTTTTGTAAACATTTCTCCAAACTGTTTCCAATTTCTCCAAACTGTTTTTTGTAAACATTTCCAAACTGTTTTTTGGTATTAACTGCTATTAGTGAAAATTTGGTATTAACTCCAAATTTTTTGTAACATTCATGTTTTCTTTATATCAATTTGGTATTAACTTAACAATCTTATAAATTGGTATTAACTCAACAATGAAAACATAAGAATTGGTATTAAGTGAGCAAATGGGCACCACAATTCATACAAGAATTAATGAAACATAAAAGGGTAAAAATGAAGTATCATCCATTAGAACAAAAATTCATCTGTTTTTCAAAAAACATAAGCTTTCTTACATAACTTTCACGGATTACAATCATCGTAAGCGTTTCTTAGACGCATTCTAAGGTACATTCCCTTACAATTTCAAGACTTTGCAAGTGAATTGATGGCTATACCAACAATCAAAACGAGGATAAACAACAAGATCTTAATTTGAAGTAATTCATAGGTAATTGACTGGAGCAAATTTGTATGAACTTCTGATGTGTCTGCACTCCTTAATGTATTCGTAGCTTCCACTACACCATTTTGTTCGTCCACCCATCTAAAATATCTACAATCATCTTCCGATCTATTTCGGGGGCATCGATAGAATTTCCTTCCGCGATTATTAGCTTTGTAGCAAGTATACATTTCACATTGCAGATTGCAACGACAATATATTAGATTGTCTTGACTTCTCGTTGATGGCGTCGAGCGGCTAGAACTCATGTCACAAATCCAAAAAGAGATTATGTTTAGGCTATTCCTGAGAAAAGACAAAGCTTTAGTAATTCATAGCAATTCTCTACCACTACCACGATAAAGAGAAGACTCATTTTTTATGATTTGAAACAACAAAACTGGGTGAAAATAGATCAACCTAACCATTGCATTAAGTTTTACCCTCAAAACCAAGTCCAGCATATTATAATTTGTTCTGAAAAAACCAATTGTAATCATTTCAGAAAAAATAACTATAAATCCAAATGAATAAAAGTTTAAAAATCAAATTTGTTATAGGCTTTGCATACGAGCGATAGGATCACAAAAATCAAAGCTGGTAAAGCTTGTTTCACATTCTCTATGCCACCGACTTTACAAAGCCAAAACTAGAAGATGCTAGCTTCCAACATATCTGGTAATACCAGAGTGTGCCCTTTGCTTTAAGTAATAGAAATGGAGAAGAACAGCAAACCTAGAAAAAAAAATCCGTTCGATCGCATCAACCAAGAAATAGAAATGGAGAATAACAGCGGATCCATCGAGAAAATTAGTTTAAGGAAAATCGAGCGAGCAAGAGGCATTGAAAACCGTTGTCAAAGAAAAAAAAAATGAAATGGAGAAGAGCATACCTCGCCGAGCAAATCCACGAACAAATCGAGCGAGGGAGGGGATTTACACGAAGCCAACGTCTCAGAACCCTCTTAAAGCGATTTCAATCGAGCGAGGGAGAGGAGATACATGAAGCAAAAGTCTCAGAACCCTATTTTCACGATTTCGTTTTGACGGAGCCAACGGAATGTGTGTAAATAGAATATGACAGGCTGTTAAGGTGGTATGTGTGTAAATAGGTAAGTTTGGGTGTGAGATAGGTAAATAGCATAGTTTTAAGTGTTAGGTATGTAAAAATCCCTATTTTTAATGGGAGCAAAGGGTGGCCCAAAATTAGCCAGTAAGGGGATGAGGTAGGTACATTCATGGCATGAGAAAATAGAAGAGGAGAAATCATGGGGAAATTTTGAATAATTTTGTGTGGGTTTCCTTCAATTTTAAAGTTTGTACAATTCATTATATATTTATTTCAAGCTTTTTATAAACCTTCTTAATGATGTAATTATTCATACAAGGAGAGAGGAGAGAAGGGGGAGCTATTATGATAGAAATCATAAGGCGAGAAATCACATTTGTTGCATAGAGTTCAACATTACTTATGGTGATTAATGGTTGATAAAAAAGGGTCAAAATATGTTAATTTGGGCTAGGCTAAGCTTATGGAAGAGTTAAACTTGCTCATTAATGAATTCCATAAAAGCATGTGATGATAGAGTACATCACATAAGACCCACGACAAACAACTCAAAATATAAAAAAATAACCTAACAATATAAACAATAGAAATACAACAATAAGTATTCTCGTAAGTATGCTGAAGGGGATCTTACTACTCTTCCTTTTTTGGGTGCTGTTATCTCACAGCCCGAGCTCTTTCTTAGATACTTTTTGTAATCGTAGTAAAATTAAGGATCCACCGGCTCTTAGGTTTTTTATTTTCTTTTTTGATTGTAGCTCTTTGGAGAATTAGCGAGCTGGAGGAACCTTCTAAGGACTCTGTAATCGAATTTTTGAATATTAACGCGTAGGCCCCATAAGTGGGTTTTAACCAAAAAAAAAAAAAGTATTCTCGTAAGTATATGAAAACTATACATAGACTTTAGGATGATGATAATAACAATTGAAAATGAGATACAACTGTCATGCTTATAAGTTCCCCTATCCTCTTAAGTCAAATAAATAAAAAGTCTCCCATTAAACTCAAGGATGAACTTATATAACCAATCTAGTTTTTCCTTGAAAAATTTGATCATCATGAGTGAGAAAAATAAGAACGTTAGTTGGCTATTGAAGTTATTATTTTGCTCATATATTTATATGTTCTTATAAATGTAAAATTTAATTTTGCTCATGTAGTATAATATTAAAAATTATTAAATATATTTTAAAATCATGGATAACATCTTAAAATCAAATAAATTATGGAATAATAATATTTATCTTATTAGAAATACATGTATGTTTTTTACTTTTCTTGGGTCGATGAGCATTGAAGCACTTGTTTTACAATGGAATATTTTTGCTCGCTTGATCACGGAGCCACCTATCTAGTCAACTACATGTGTGATCCGAGAGATAAATGTGTAACATGTGTTGATACACAAAATTTAAAAGGTCTAATATTCCTTGAGCAAAATTAGATGAGCTAGCCCAAATAGTCCATAATAGCAATCTACTATATATATATATATATATATATAACATCTTAATAACAAAATCTTTTTTATGAACAAAGCTTCATCATTCTTTTCTTTCTTCTCATAAACCCAATAAGATTGAGTACAGTATTGTAACAGGAAATGAAGCAATCATCCCAAATATGACCCTGCAAAAGTAAGGCAACATCAAAACACACTTGTTTTAGATATAAAGCTTAAAAGAAAAAAAGGTGAATATTATGAGCATTGAATTAATGAAGTTGAGAAATTTTATGAGCTTACACAGTGCTTAAGAGCTCTGAGTGCAAATCGTATTCCTTGGCATAAACAAATGTTAAGGCTGCTTGTGGCAGTGCAGCCTGATGATAAATGGAATTAATCAGTTCCTAAAATGAAAAATTAGTAAGAGAACTAAAAAAATAATTAGAATTACCTGTACCACTGCAACGCTAAGGGTGGTCTTTCTAAGTCCAACAAGTACTGAAGACAATAGCATAGTAGCAGGGCCAGCAAGAAATCTCATTAACATTCCATAAACTGCAAGCCTAATTCCACATGATATGATCCTTGGTTGCAAAGCCATGAACAACCCTGATTGTTTTATGTAATTATATTAAGATGTAGGTTAATGATGGTGATGTAGTTATGATTTGGCTAATGATGATGATTAATATGATGTATGAGATGAACTATTCTCCTACAAATATTTAGTTTTTCCTCTAATTTATTTTACTAATAATGTTTCTTATGACCTTGAGCTCAATGTTTCATTCATTGTCATAATAATTTTACCATACATCAAGAACTTGTATTTAACAAGATGATTTCAACTACACATAGAAATTGATCGAGCAAAAATTTTAGTTTCGCTTATGCATCTCAGTTTTTAACATCATCAAATATAATATAAACATCTTAAACTTAATCCCACTATAAATTTCACCAACAAATCATGTATTTAACTTCAAGTGATTTGAGAATTTCTACGGGATCAAAATTTTAAAAAAGCCTATAAATATTCTTTAAAAACTTTGAAATCATGTATCTACTAATTTTAATAATGATTAAGAGAATAAATAAAAATTTTGAGCTAATATCAGAAAGTTGTAAATCAATGTATAAATTAGACTGAAAATGATTTTTCTTCTAAGGAGAAAAATTCACCCCCTTATAAATAAATCAAAAGTCATCATCACATGGAGAAAATGGCTTACCCAAACTAAAGACAGCCAATCCTTGCCCAGTATTTGATAGGATTTTCACTGAGTTATCCATGATAAGTGGCTTCTTTATCTTCAACCTGAATAAGTTCATAAACAAGGATGAATAAGCTTAGAATATATAATTAAAATCTCTTACATTTTTTTAATATAAGCAAGGGCGGGCGAGAACCTAGAGGAAATCAGAATCCATAAGAGGCCTAGAAGACTGGCATAGGCATTTGGGTTCCTGACTAGCTTAAAACAAACTGTTTTCATGATTAGCTTGATCATCATAAGTCTCCCACTTTCCACTTTCTCAGTCTCTTTTCCTTCACTCTCTTTAATGTCTCTACTCTGCTCAGGCTTCTCATAAACACCTAAATAAGAATTAGAAACAAAAATAAAAAGAGAATCAAAATCAAATTTCCAATCTTCAAAATAAGTTCTAATAATTCATCCTACCATTGCTTGCCTTCTGAACAATTGACTGAGCCTTGAAGCTCTGAAATCCCTTCAATATTCTCCTCATCTATGCTAATATGAACATCTTCTGCACCAATGTTATTTTGTAGCTGGGCACTCTTCTCACTTATGTTCATCATTATAGAGTTCCTTGCTGCCCGAAACTCATATAGAAATAGAAGGAAAACAAACCAAATAATGCATTGCATCACCACCACTTGTATCATCAAACCTTCTTGTTCATTTCCATACATAGAAGTGAGGAGGGGGATTCCAACAATCAAAGTGTTTGGGAGAGTGGTGAGGGAGAAGAGGGTGATGAGCCATTCCAAGCTGCCAGATTTGAAGAAATTTACCCAATTTAAGAGGATAAGGAGGACTAAAACCTTTGAGATGGAGTCAGCGGCGAGGAAGGGGATATTAATATTTTTAAGTTGAAAGCGGGAGATGACATCAAAGAAGAGGAAAGGACATGCAAAGTGAGCGACAAAGCGGTTGATGCCAAAGCATTGCTCGGGGCTGAAGATCTTCCAATATTTCACAGAGGCAAAAGCAAGGAACATCGTGATATACTGTGGAACTAATGCGCTAAGAACATTGTAGAGATCATTGGGAGTCATTTTTGTAGATCCGTTCTTTGGCTTCTTCAATTCCTAGCTCTTAATCCAATCTCTTCATTGCCCTCATAATGAAGATGAGGAGTAAAAGCCTCCTTTCTGTTATTTTGATTCGTGAATATCCTAATTAGGCGGGCTAACTACTTCCTATGTAAGAATAAGGAGTACTTTGACCCTTTCTTTTCCGTTTGTTTGTCGATTTACTATATTTGCTCGGAATTTGGCTCTCAAAATTCATGTATAAGTTAAGAACTTGCTTATTTTAAAAATAATATCAAACCACTTTTTTTATTTCAAATTTTTGAAGAGAATGATAAATTTATAATAATATTACCAAATTTTAATAAAAAATTTCCATTTTATACTTTCATATTAAATAATTTGTTAATTTAATAATTATTTAGTTGTATTACTACTTACAAGCAAATAATGGATTTTATTTGTTATATTTCAATTTTTTAAATGAAGAAGGTTTGTGAGCACACACTTTAATTTTTTTTTTTTTTACTGCAATATGTATAGTATGCTGCTATTAAAAAGGCATTCGACACTATTAATTTTAGCGTTTTATGATTTTAATAATTTGGTGGTCAGATACTAATCTGATAAAATAATCAGTCATAATTTTTTTTCTATCTTTTCTTAACCGTTAGCCACGTTACCTATAGAAAATTAGTATAATAATTTTAGTTTTCTGGCTCGAAAAAATTCCGACAAAGAGAAATCTCCAAAAAAAAAAAAAAAACGCCAATATCTATGGAAAGAAGCCCGAGTTACTTGAATGATTTTAATGCTTGATATGCTCAAGTCATCTAATCAAGTACGAATATTAATAAATCATTAAAAATTAACTTGATCAAATATGAATCTTGATGCACATCTAAATTGGATTTTTTTAGAATTGAATTCATGTTCATCCCAACTCTAATTTAAACATATCATCTTGATGAAACAACCCAACAACATCAAAAATGATACAATCCATGTCCCAATAAATTGAGATCAAGTGGTTGAAGCAATGAAAAACTTTAGATTACTATTTTCGAGTACCAAATGACCTCCAAATTTGTCATATTTATAGTCAAATCGAGCAACTCAATGACACGAAACCAACAAGTCTAAAATCACTAAATTCTAACAACATTAAGGTTCTTAAATGTTGAATGAATAATTTAAAATCAAGGAATCAATATTGGCAATCTATTGGAGTATTATTCCATATTTATTTTTTATATTTACAAGATATGTTACTCTCAAAAATCTATAAATAAGTTCTACACTAGAATTGTCAATAAATGATCCGACCCAAACATAACCTCAAAAATTTGATACTGACTTGACCCGTTTAACAAATGAGTCCAGTTCCGGTTGGATTTTCTAACCCATTTTTTAAACAGGTCATGTTGGGTTGAATGTGAGACTACCTCTGACTCAAAAAAGTCTTGTTTAATTTTTTTTTTTACTTGTGTATATAATCTTTTTATTTTTTATCAGATATCGTAAAATTTATAGTTAATAAGTTATAAAAAAATTATGAATTTGACTAGATTTGAGTCGAGTCAATATCTGGTCGGACTCGAACCCGACCCATCAACCCATTTTTAAACCCCTACCCCACTATCTGTATTAAGGGAACCATAGACTAAAGATTCAAAAGAGGTTCACCTCGTTGTTCTAGCTTAATCGCTTAATGTATACCCTTTTCCTCTGGGTGTTGTTCAATTTTTAAGAGAAGAACTTGTTGAAGATTTTGCTTATAAGATATCAAAGGCCTTAATGAGAGGCAAAGGGACTTCATGGATCTTGCAGGAGGCAAGGGAGAAGTTGCTTTTCAAAGAGGAAACTGGTGTATGGTCTCTCCATTATCCTAGGAAGGAAAATTGCTTTCCACCTTGCTAGGAGCAAAATTAGTGAGTTAGTAGAATTCATGAGGAGAGGACTCTAGAAGTGGATGTACGTCTATACCACTGGACTGCTATAAATATTTTATGAACTCTGCATTTACTTTATTACAACTTTTATTTCATGCTTGTGATTGTTTGATAATTTGTAAAAAAAAATGGTTAAAATTGCAAACTAGTAGATTTAAATAATTTTTGCATGATAAAATATTTTCTTACAAAAAGTGTTTTAAGAAAAAAATAAAAGAAATTTTCACTTAAAATAAAAATCTATCTTGGTGAGAAAGTCTTTGAAATTTTTTTTGATATAGTTAAGTATTGGTAGCTTCCACATATAATTATCTCTAAATTTTTAAGATTCAAATCAAATCACCCTCACTATGTGTTAAAATAGTTTCAAAGGGGAGATTAATCGGGAATTCGATTATTTGGGTATGGCTTCTCATACCCAAAATAGTAGAGAGGGTAGGAGGAGACCACTAACATACTATAAAATTACAACCATATAAATCAAATGGGGAGGGAGTCAATATAGTAAAGGCAAGTTAGATAAAGCACAAAATACCGATGGGTGGTAATAGTTAGTGAAAGTGGCATATCATCTAACTAGCATAAAAGCTATGAATATGGTATCCCATTATGATTTTTTGATGCATAAAGGATGAGATCAAAAGATAGAAAATAATATCCTTCTTACTACCTCAATCACCCTAATAGAGGACATGTCATAATGGGAGACTAATTCTTTCTTAGAGTTGAGTTTTGCCTAGACCTCTAACCTTATGTAGGATGTCCAACTAAAGGGATGTCCTATATGAAGAGGTTTTATTGAAATGTACATATGCCAAAAATATACAAAGAAATCATATGTGATTTGACATCATAACCTATATACACAGGGTTGGGGAAGTTAAACTTTAACAAATAGGATAATAATATTTATAAAAATGCTTCCCATCCAATAGATTGAAATAGTCAAATGTACAGGATAGATCAAGGAGAAGGGATTAAGAAAGTTTACTCTAAGATAATAGCTCTATTTACAACTCTCTCACATCTCTCTCTATAAGTTTGTAACTTCTTTTTTAGTAGAAGTTTTCTCACTTCCTTCTATATATATATAATGAAGTAGAAAATTAGTACTTATAAGTATCAAGGGAGACAAATCCTTGCTAGGATGGCAATACTCAGAGTAAACGGTCCTAGTTTGATGGGTGATATAGAATATGTCATAATGATTTCACTATAGAATTTGTAATAATGATAAGTAGAGAGGAAATTGTGAAATAGAAATAACTTATTGTTGGTTAGATTGCCATCGAAGTATTATATTTTCTATAGTGGTTTCTAGCATGGCATATAAGCTAATGGGGGACCTGATGTGTTTTTATTCCTAGTGGACGTGCCATTTTCTACCTGGTCTAATCATCTAGTGTGATAATTGAAGAGGGGGGATCTTATCATCTTAATATATTTCCTCTCAATTAATTGAAATAAAAAATATCATCCAACTTCAAATGGATGAATCTATAACATCTAGAGAAGTAGTATGTAGTTACACCCATTTTGACTTGGTCTAGTAAGGGCAACCCACTACATTTTTTGCATTTAACAACTCTTACATATATCTATTAGTATTTTATGTGCATGTGAATGACTAAATTTATTCTAAAGAGAGTACCAGGGATTTATGTGTACGAATGAAAATCTAAAAGTTTCTCCTTGGAGTGTCGCGTTGCCTAGGTTGGTAGCTCCATGGCATTGATCTCGTTGTCTTTTTATCAAAATAATTCAAAGATATGGTGATGAGGGTGATGTTGTGGCGTTGTATTCTCCATAGGAGCTTGTTGTGCACTATCAATGCCATCGTGCCAAATCATTCTTCTATGAAAAAAATAATAAAATCTACTTTATTTTCATTTTCCAAAACCCTCCCCCTCATTCCTTAAGTAGTTAGCTAGAGAGAGAGAGAGAGAGAGAGAGAGAGAGAGAGAGAGAGAGAGAAATCAGTCATAATTTTTTTTCTATCTTTTCTTAACCGTTAGCCACGTTACCTATAGAAAATTAGTATAATAATTTTAGTTTTCTGGCTCGAAAAAATTCCGACAAAGAGAAATCTCCCCCAAAAAAAAAAAAAACTCCAATATCTATGGAAAGAAGCCCGAGTTACTTGAATGATTTTAATGCTTGATATGTTCAAATCATCTAATCAAGTATGACTATTAATAAATCATTAAAAATTAACTTGATCAAATATGAATCATGATGCACATCTAAATTGGATTTTTTTAGAATTGAATTCATGTTCATCCCAACTCTAATTTAAACATATCATCTTGATGAAACAACCCAACAACATCAAAAATGATACAATCCATGTCCCAATAAATTGAGATCAAGTGGTTGAAGCAATGAAAAACTTTAGATTACTATTTTCGAGTACCAAATGACCTCCAAATTTGTCATATTTATAGTCAAATCGAGCAACTCAATGACACGAAACCAACAAGTCTAAAATCACTAAATTCTAACAACATTAAGGTTCTTAAATGTTGAATGAATAATTTAAAATCAAGGAATCAATATTGGCAATCTATTGGAGTATTCCATATTTATTTTTCATATTTACAAGATAAGCTACTCTCAAAAATCTATAAATAAGCTCTCTACACTAGAATTGTCAATAAATGATCCGACCCAAACATAACCTCAAAAATTTGTTTATGACTTGACCTGTTTAACAAATGAGTCCAGTTCCTGTTGGATTTTCTAACCCATTTTTTAAACAGGTCATGTTGGGTTGAATGTGAGACTAACTCTGACTCAAAAAAGTCTTGTTTAAAATTTTTTTTTACTTGTGTATATAATCATTTTATTTTTTATCAGATATCGTAAAATTTATAGTTAATAAGTTATAAAAAAATTATGAATTTGACTAGATTTGAGTCGAGTCAATATCGGGTCGGACTCGAACCCGACCCATCAACCCATTTTTAAACCCCTACCCCACTATCTGTATTAAGGGAACCATAGACTAAAGATTCAAAAGAGGTTCACCTCCACTACAGGAAATCACCCATTTCCGGCGGCCTTTTCCGGCGG